GACCCGCCGGCGCGTTTGCGGCGTGTTCTGCTGGAGCGCGGTCCCAGCCACAGCCCTTCTTTCCTCCGCAGGAGCCGGCCGGAGGCGTTCGCGGGGAAGGGGGAGAGCGTCTTCTGGGGAGGGGAGCGTGGGCCGTGCTGCCCCGGCGCTCTAGGGACGTGGCAGTGGTGGAGAGGCTTGGGAGGTCTTGGGTTTTGCCTCGTTGCTTTGTTTCCTGTTCCTGCAAGCTTGTTTTCCTCAGTAGTGCCGTTTCCGAAAAGTGTCCTCTTTCCAACTGTGAAATCGCGTGTTTTACTCGTTTCTCACGTCTGTTACTGACTTTGCTTGATGCGCTCTTGTAAAAGGTCATCAGAGCATCCCCGGTTGAAAGCTTTTAAAAACGATAACCCAGAGCTTTTTTTTAGCTTCTTTTTTTTTTTTTTTTTTTTTTTTTTTTTAAAGCGAGGTAAAATCCCTCCAGATAGATTTTGCTTTATGGCTGTACGTACTGTTGGGAGAATTTCAGTGAAGAAGGGGTTTGTCTTTTTGTGTGTAAGGTAGTAAGGTAGCTTACTACCAGTACACCGAGAACTGTTATGACAGCTAAATGGTATCTATATCTGTCTAAAAGGCTGCCACTCAGGAGATGTACATAAATACTGTCCATATGCTGCTTGGGTAACTAGGAAACTTAAGGGAGAGTTGTTTCCTGTCTCCTGATTTCAAACCCGAGCTGCCCTGACGCTGTAAGCTTGGCTGTGCAGCAGTGGAGATACCACTAGTTCCACAAGGAGATGGTGAATAGTAACCCCAGCAGGAGCATGGGGGCAGATGAATTACCGGGGCCTGTCATCAGACCGGCCCTCATGACTTCACTGTTACTCTGGACTAGATCAGTTGCAGCTGGAACAATTATACTCTGCTCCCATTTCATTTTTCTCATCCCTAAAAGCATGGTGTAGGTGACAGAAGAGTAAAAGACCCCTTCTGAACTTTCTGGAGGCCTGTAGAGCATTGCCTACCTTCACTGAAAGCATAAATTAACAGAGTGCAGATTTCTGGCATACCTTCTGAATGAAGACAAACACAAGAATGAAAAGGCAAATTAAAGTATTAAAAATCCTGAATAAATTCAGGAACTAGGAGCTTGTTTCACATTGTGATTCTGGTTTTGGTGGTTTTTTTTTTTCATGTGATAATACTGCTACAATGCAGCTGTGCAGCAGTGAAAATGGAGCAGTACTTCAGCTTGTGGTTCTGGATGAGTTTGCTTGTTTGTTTTAAATCTAATACCTCCGGCTGCTTTTGTTCAGCTTCAGAAGGGTTTCTTGTCACTGGTGTTGCCTTGCTGTCCAGTCTGCTGTGGTTTTTTTATTTATTAAAAAAAAAAAAAAAAAAAATCAGCACAGCCTCTGCCCAGTGGAAGATTTGTTCAGGATTAACACTGAGCTAATGGGAGGAGGGTGACAGTTGCCAGTATCATTTGGAGATGTGATGTTTCTCTTCTGCATTCCCAAGAGAAGCTGCTGGTAATGATGTCCACAGCAAACAGTACCATGTTTGAACTCACATGTGCCTCTTTCTTCCCTCCACAGCTGGGGTGGAAAACACAACAGAACCTCAGGATGTCCATCATTCAGCGAGGGACAGCAACACTTCGTAAAGCAAAGAAAATCACTGTAAAAACGTGTCTAGATAACCCCTTTGTTTTCCAGTGGGAAACCATAGATGGAGAAGATATGCATTTTATACTACAGACTTTAGAAGAAAGGATTAAACATATTGGACTTAAAAAGATTGAGACTCCAAGAAAGAAAAAACGTTCCCTTACAAAAAAACAAATGGAAAGAAAGCATAATGCTAGCAGTGACGAACTCCCTGAGGAAGAGGAAAGAGAAGGCTATCGACAAAAACCAGGATGGACTGACCCAAGTATCAGAAGACAGCTCGCTATTGGAGTTAATGAAGTTTCAAAAGCATTGGAAAAAAATGAACTGGTGCTCTTGCTGGTGTGCAAGTCTGCCAAACCTGCCATGATCACATCGCATCTCATTCAGCTGAGTGTGAGCCGAGCCACACCGGCAGGCCAGGGTCCCCCGCTCAGTGGAGCTCAGTGAAACAGTTGCGCCGCTGCTGGGCTTAACATCCATTTTAGCACTAGGCTTTAAAAAGCAGTCTGATGCATTTACTGAAGCAATAGAAGCAATAATTCCAAAGATACCAGCTTTGGAAGTGCCATGGTTTCAGCACAGAGCTGAAGAACCTGCAGCTCACGGGCATGCAGAGCCTTCAGTGGGTCCAGAGCAGCTTGCAGAGGTGCTGGGGGATGAGCTCACAAGCCAGAAGTGGAAGCATGCAACAAGCAATCAGCTCAATCTTTCAAATGTAACTTTGCAGCCTTTGAAAATCAAAAAACTTGTTCCAAATCCAAGTAAGATAAAGAAACCACCTCGCAAAAAGAGAAAAGCTTTTTCAGCATAACTGAGTGTAGTTTGGTTCTTCATATTAAACTGATTTTTTTTTTTTTTAAAGCAGTATGGGAGTGCAGCCCTAACTGAATTATTTGTTGGGCTTTACAGTGTACAGCGCAAGGTGAACTTATGTTGCATTCAGCTGAGGTACTTCCTGCTTTAATAAAGAATGTTGCTCAAACTTGGGTGTGAGTCTTTACCTGGGGGTAAATATTTCATTTGCAGTCAGATCACAGAGTTAAAATTGGTAATGAACATGCCAGAGTCATTTGAGACATAATAAATACATCTTTGGAATTAATGCAAAGCATTAAATGAACTTTGTATTTTTATATAGATGAACATGCTTCAAGCAAAACAGATTTGAGTTAAGTACGATTATTCAAACAAATCAATACCAAAAGTGAAAGTTTATTTAAGCAAAGGTGCATGCTGGTATAACTCTTCTAAAGCTGGTTCAATGCTTGTTTCAAGTAAACAGCTGTAACATCACAGGCACCCTTCCATTCTAATGTTCATCATTTGCTCTGCTGAACAATAAACTTGGTCAAGCCCATACGCAGATCTGGATTCCCTCTAACATCTGGTGTCTGATACACTGAAGGAAAAACTTTGTTTTCAAATACAGAACAAAACCAAATTACTACTGCTGCAGTTTGATAAAAAGACTTCTGTATGGAAACTATTAACACACATCCTGAAAAAATGTAAACTAACTTAAACTTAATTTGATTTCTAAATGGAGTCTAAAATTTCCCAGGAAACTGAGATAAGCCCTGTACTGTTGTGTATAAAGTAGGTGACAGCTATCACCGCTACAAGACCAAAAACATACCACAGAACTTTTGAGTTTCCCTTAGTTTTACTGGGGACTATGGACAGTTTCCTAATGAGACAGTTGTGTTGCAGGATGGAAAGGGAATAGTGCTGCAATTTAGACAATCTACATTGACAGCCCTGGAATTTACTTGGCACTCTGTATTTTGAGCAGAACTCACTATGGTACTGTAGAAGAAAGCACAAAATACCTTAACTGAGTTACTGTGTTGTTCTTTAAAGACAGAATTTACATGTAGTTTTCAGAGATTTGCTAATCCAGACTTCAGTGCCATCAGATAGCTAATCTGTACTTTGGATTTATTTAGAAGGTACTTTAGTTCATGACACCAACTACACAGGGAGGCAGTAGTGATGATTCTGTAGTCATGATGCTCCCTGAAGTTTAAACAAAACTAAGACATTTAATGCCAAAATTTTTGCCCTCCCTGGCTAAGGGTGGCAAGAAGGGGTGAGGGTTTTTTGCCTTGCTTTGTAGTCCTTCATAAACGTCCCTTGTTTTGGCTTTTTGGATGCATAAAACTGAAGGCATGCTAGCACGAGTGTATTTAATGCCCCTGCTAGCCAACTGCAACATTTAAATCTTTGCCTTTAAACAGAGCGTGAGGATTAGCTTTGGTAACAAATATAAGCGCAGCAATCATCTTCCAAGCACTCCTCTGCCTGCCCCAGTCTACAGCTCTCTCCAAGGATGTGTGTCCCCTCCCCAAATCAGACATTACCCTGGGAAAGAAACTCTAGAGGTTTCAAAAATCTGGTGGGAAACGTGGTGCAGTGAGCCCTAAATTTGCCAGTCCTTGTGAAACCACCTATTAGGTTTTGAGGAGTCTTACCTGGTGACTGTTCATAGCAAGCCTAATGCACTGACAGGTTCAACTCTGGAAACAACAAAAGAGCCTCTCCTGTTGAGCTGCTGAAAGTGGCACCCACATGGACAACCACCTTTTGTTAACTACCTGCTTAGGAAGCGAAGAGTGAGTTGCCACAATTTCCAGCTCCTGAGTAACTGCCCTATTGCATGGGTGCAGGCTGGGACACCTTCAAGCTTCACATCCTCTTGGTGCTGTGGTACTTCTGCAAAGAACTTGAGGTGAAGAGCACCGCCAGCCAAAAGGTTTGAGCACTCAACAGGGACAGAACAGACCACATTGGATTGCACAGCTGTTGGGCAACACACGCAGGTTTGTGACCAGAACCCTCCAAGGAGCTCTCCAGCACTCAGGCCAAGATGCCCACTTCCCTCATGCTCTCCCAGTTTTCTCTCCCAGCTACAGCTTCTACAGGAGCATGACTCTGCCCTCCTTCCCTCAGTTAACAGGCACCGTGCGCCAGAAAATGAGACAGAGAAGTTTACCCCTTGGATTCAGAAGCAAATGTCACCGTTTTCCCAGAAGACAGCACAAGAGAGGCCCCACTCCTTCCTTCATGTGCAATTACCCCAAGATGAGCACAGAAAGCCAGGCTGCAGGAGACCCAGGGTCAAGTCTGTCTTCTACCTGGACATATTTGGTCCCATTGTGGCCTCAGCGCTTTTCCAAACAATAGTGCTGGGGAGGACTTGCCTTCCAATTTCAGAGATGAGTGGAGAAAAGACAATGTCTGCCTACCATTTCTTCCACTTGCAGATTTTTTGAGGGGAGGGAGGGCAGCGAACATGAGCACATCTTTCACCTGGCATTCAAGACCACCCGTCCGGATCAGGGAGAGCTGGGCCGTGATAATTTCTTAGCAAGGACCTTGGCATGAGGGACAGAGCTATGCCCTGCTGTCCCACCTCACATTAGGCAGCAGCTGAGTGAGGACTCCCAAGCCTCTGCCTTTAGAGCCGAAGCCCCTTGGTGAACCTCCTCCTCATCCCAGTGGGCTCCAAGGCGAACACCCAGCCAGGTAGGCACCTTCCTGCCTTTTAGGAACAAAGAAAAGTCTTGCAGGAGTTGAGATCAAATCCTTCTTGGTACCTCATATCACTAACATCAATTACATTTCCAGCCACTTATTTCTGCTCAGGCCTCACACAGGGAGTCCAAGCTCCCTCTGCACCATGCGTTAGGGCTGGTACTAGCAGACAGGTACCAGAGTGGCCAAAGTTGTAAAGCCCAACTGCACTATTAGATGTCTGAAAGACCTCCTCTGAAGCCCTTTTAAATTCATGAGGTCCTGAGCTGGTGCACACCCAGGGGTCAGACAAACCACGTTCAATCCCTTCCATTGTTTGAAGGAGGTCGAATGCTTTAATCACAGAGCTATAACGCAATAAGGGAAAGTATTTATCACTGTCTTTATGGCAGAATCCTCTCACCACAACTCAACAAGAAAAAGAAACCAAACCACAAACCATTCACACACTGGAAAAGGAGCAGGAAGAAAGAAAAACCCCACTGCTATAAGGAGGGGGGTAGGGCTAGCGGTTATGAAGAACAGACAAATTTATCTTCATCTAAATTGATGTTTTCAGGTACAGAATTCAACTTTCAGCAAAATCTGCTGTCAGAATTACAGGCATGTTTAAAAGGAAAGTTTCGACATTTGCATTTCATGAGATACTCAAGTCACATTCAAAAGATGCTCACAGCACAGAGGCTTCACTACCACAATTTGGCACTTTCAGCTAGAACAGTTTCTTACTGCAGATTTTCAGTGCTGACGTTATTGCAGCATCCGTGAGCTGAAGGAACTGCTATCGTATCTAGCTATAATGCTGCGCTGGAATGCATTTAAAGTGCTTCAGAAGCTGCTCTGGTTGCCAAGCATTCATGAGGGAATGAAAACAGCTCCCCCCAACAACAAAGATCAGCCCTCCTACATTTCAGGAAGCGCAGTACAGAGACTTCCAAGGACTCTTCTGCTTACCAGCCACATATATAGCAAAACTTCTTGTTCCAAAGTCAGGATAAAAACACTACCAGGAACAATTTATGAATACGTATTTACACAAGATACTTTTCATTTGAATTACAGACTTCATAGGAAATCAAAGTAGACGAAGGAATATGTGCAATCTCGCAGAAGCGCTGAAAACATTCAAACTATAAATATCTTGATAGCACTACTAAAATTCTTAGTTTTACACACAGGCTGATGTTATTCTACTGAGGAAAAACTAAGGTTTTGTGCCACAACTGTAAATTAAGTACAGTAATGTATTATCATTCCATCAACATAGATAACACCTGCACTGAACAGTGCGATACTGTTAAATCAATCCACTGATCTATTGAAGATCAAAGTACAAATCTGTATTTTTATTGATTTGGCAGCGTTGCTTAGGGAGAAACAAATGCACTAGTTAACCAGCACATTGTCATACTGCTCCAGTTACAAAAAACATCCAGGACTTTCATAGAGCTACAAACATATCGTACTTCAGATTTTTCCCCCAAATGGTGATATCCACGTGAAGTAAATAAGCAAAGATACTCAAGTTTGTATCCTTCATTCTGTTACACTGACAAACATACACCACCACTTAATAAATAGAAATGCAGCAGTTCATCCACATAATAGCAAATATTTTTGTACCCTAATCCACCACTGAAGTTCAGTTTGTACAAAACAGTCTTTTCTACAGAGTGGAAAAAAAAATACCTTCTTCTCATCAAGGTGCAAGCTAAGCTTTGAAACTTAAATGAATGTGCTTTTATTCTTTTCATGGACGATAAAAGAGTTTCATGGACCTTCTGATCTACCCCAAAATGTGTAAATTTGGTCACATATGGATGTCTTCGATGTTCAGGTTTAATGGACAATTTCAGTATCACTGATGTTGTGCTTTTACTGCTCTTGAACAACACCGTTCCAAGAGTTATGGAGATCAAATTAACTCAAATAATGACCGCAGAGTTCTAGAAACATAAGATGTCCTCATTGTAATACAAGACCAACCTAAAGGAAGAAGAAAAATACAGTACTTCAGTTCAAATATGGTAATAAATCTGAACATCATTAGTCTTCTGCACCTCAATTACAGATCTTGAATATGACCAATTAAAGTTATTTTAAATCTTCTACCCATTTTGGCCAGTGTAGATTAATGTTCCATTATACCTAACAGAATTCAGAAGCTCTTTTTTTCTCCCTTACCTTTTCAGATTCCATGCCAGGACACCTCCAGTTGTATAAATAATACTGCAAATTTCCATCTCCAATTCCAAACTTGAGTTTTTCCAGGAATGTTTTGTTTTCCATTAAGTCTAGTGCATTGAACACATCAAATCCTTTCTGGCAATAGCAAAACATTTTTTAAATTTTACTTTTTAAAGTTTCAAATGACGCACAAATGATACTTCACACAGTGGCATACAATATCCAAGAGACTAGGCTAATTAAGTGGAAAAAAAGACAAGGTAACAAATCTTGCCTTTTAATGAGGTTCACACAGTAAGAAGTTTTCCCAATAAAAAGTGAAGGCACAACTTTGCTTGAAGATTATCTACAAAACGGTAGGAATTTTAAAGTCACTTTGAGGGATAAAGGTCTGGAGGATCCCTAAAGCATTATCCATTGTTTTATCCTTACAGATACACACTTGTTACAGTCACATACAGTGTTTTGACACATACGGCCTATTCCAGCTGAAGCTGCATAAATGCAGCTTATGGTGTTTTTCAGCCATTTGTCATTCTGTTACTGATAAACATTGTATTTCTGTGATTTGGTCCTTTTCTGAAATGCCATTGTGTTTAGAACAATCTTTCCCCCTCCCCTACTCATGCACCCTCTACCAACTCCTCTTTTCATCAGCCTCCCAAATGCACCAATCAAAGAGCCATTTTGCTCTCAGAACAGCCATGTTGCCAAATTAAGCTCAGGGTATTGCGTGCCACACAAACATACTAAAATCTCAACTCACTGTGAACTCTTTAACAAGCAACATAAAACCAAGGCCAGTTAAGCCATTGCAGTGACAATCATCACGTATGAACAGCTGAATTTGTTTAGGGGTCTGGACAGAAAAGTCCATTTATTTGCTATTAACTGCAAGGGAGTCTGACCTAAGACCTTGGAGCCTTAGCAGCACAAAGGCAGTGCGCCAGCAGGACTCGCTATACTCTAGTATAAAAATAAGTTACAAAGCAGTAACACTTGGGTACTTAAACACAAGAAGATGGTAAGGAACATTCTTTATTCAGTATAAACACTAGATGTGGGTTTTTTTTTTCTTTTAAATAAGCACCCCATATTAGGAAAAAAGCAGCTTGAAGAAGAGCAGCGTTTTAAGCTCTCCATCAGTTTAGGACTATGTAAAAGAAAGTCACAAAGCACTGAGCTCAGTAAGGCTTCCCGCTACCCTACACAAAGATCATTCTGTGTGCAGATGAAGTTACGGTAAGTTATGTGTGCCGTGAAAAACACACAGAAACAAGACAAATAAGGTGGCAAGGATTTGACACTCGGCATCTAAAGAAGTGAATTTTGAGATTTTCCAAGTTGGTAACTAGACAGCAACAGAAATTTCAGAAGGCAGAAATGGAAGCAGGGGAGAACAGAGATGCACTGTAGGTACAGACACACTGATTAAGCTCTGCAATTAAGCACTCAAAATTCCAGTAAATGATAGAGTCTACAGATGAAGTTTTAATTCAGTATGTAAACATGAGCAGATTAGGTTCAGGTTAGTATCTTCTGAGACACATGAAAAAAGTTCCTGTTCAAAGATACTTGCTCAATAGCTCTGCCAGACCATTAAAGCAGACTCAGAAGTGAACTTCCCTGTTTATAGGCTCTCTCCTTTTCTAGATCTAGAAACTTAGTGTCAGCTTCAGCAATAAAATTTGCAGGGTTTTGGGGGGATTCTCCCGCTACAAAATCCCACTGTCTCCATGCAGAACACACGGAACCTAAGCACGTAACTCCACATTTTGCGTTTTACTTTGGTGGTCAGGCATTTTCTCCTGTAATTGCCAAGTTTTTACTAGACTTAGTTCTAAGCTAACTTTAAATAGTGTAATAATATGAAAATAAAAATCAACATTAAACTGACATGCAAACCCTGCAAGCAATTTGCTGAGTTGAATTTGTATCTCCAAAATGCATTCTTTGGGAGTAAACGTACAGAAAGGAAAGTGGTGGGTTGGCCCCAGCCAAGCGCCAAACACCCACCCAGCCTTTTGCTTGCTCCTTTCCCATGGGATGGGGAGAAAACAGAAGGAAGGCACGATGACTTGCAAATCAAAATGACGACAGTTTAATAGAGAAAGCAAAAGCTGCATGCACAAGCAAAGCAGAAAGAGGAATTCATTCACTACTTCCCATCGGCAGGCAGATGTCAAGCCACTTCCTGGAAATCAAGGTCTCAGCATACACAATAGTTGTTTGGGAAGATAAATGGCGTAAACAGGAGCATCCCCCCTTCCTCCTCCTTTCCGTCAGCCTTTATTGCAGAGCACAACGTCATACAGTTTGGAATAGCCCTTTGGTCAGTTGGGGTCAGCTGGCCCGGCTGCGTCCTCTCCCAACTCCTTGCCCACCCTCAGCCTCCTCGCTGGGGGTGAAAGAGAGAAAGCCTTGAGGCTGTGCAAGCATTGCTCAGCCACAGCACCGGTGCATCACCACCACTGTTTTAGTCACAAACACAAAGTGCAGCACCATATGGGCTGCTAGGAAAAGAGTTAACTCCATCCCAGCCAGACCCAGTACATTTGTACACAAAAAGCTGTGAGTAGGGCTGTACTTCTCATTTCTCTTCCCTTGCCTCACCTCTCCTCATCTAGAAGTCCAAGTGCCAGATCTGCAAATGTAGTTAAGCATCTAATGATTCAGACAGGCCAGGCAGGTACTTCAGAAATCCACAGGCATCTAAATCCCAGTATTCTAACTATATGATGATCTCCATGTAAAAGAAATTAATGGCGTGTCACATTCAGAGAGAAATGTAGACAGGGGAAGGTGCAAATCCTCGTTGTTAAGACCATGTAACTGCTTCCTCACCCACTCCATCTGTGACCTAGTGAACAGCCAGCCACGCAGCTCCCTATGCCACACTTCAAATGGAGGCAAATGTTTACTACTTCTTCCACTTTGACTTTTAAGAATAAGTAGTACTAGTGTTTTTGGCCACTCCTGAAAATTACACTAGTCACCTTCTTCTGTCTTCATGTATCTTAATAGCTTTTAAAGTCTGTCTCTAAACTTCCTTTGGTATCATTCTGGAGCCTGAATAATGGGGTTCTGTATTTCCCATGACTATCCCGGAGTTTTCCTTGCCAAATAGTTATTCAACTCAATACTGCCTACAGTTCAACAAGCCTCAGCAAGCTGTTCACGTCATAGACACCAGCTCTGCTGCAGTGCTGCACGAACACGGCCAAGACAGACAAACTGAGGACTGTGCGGCTGCTTTCATGCAGCCTTAAGTCTGAACAGATACAGCCTTTGCAGACCATCACTGGCTTCACACTGGATCAACACAGAAATCCCCGTGCCACATGCAGTGCAGACGGCTCTGAACATGGTCAGCTGGAGCACATTTGCCTGCCTGGAGACTCATCTGGTAGGTGTAATACCACAAGCAGTGCGGCAGCAACACTTCAGCTGGGAGGGGCAAGCTTCAAGCATGAGGAGCAGAAAACATGCCTATGCTCTGCAGCGCGTTGGGAATGGCTGCTGGAACGGCTGCTAGAATGGCTGCATGGGCGGGATGAAGCCTGTGCAGTGCTGTGAAAAGCCAGGGCTAAGCAGGTCTCCGAGAATTCATTCAGAGTGCTGGGATGCGCACCACCTGCACAGCTCCGTACCACAGACTACACTGCCACTGGTGTTTGCACTGCACGGCATTAGTTTGTCACCAGACAGCATTAAAGTCTTACAATTCTTGTGTTTAAGAACTTCATTTACAGTCTCTTCCCCTCCATTCAACTAAACCATCTATCAGTGTAATTCCATGCATGAAGGCGTGCTTAAAAGCTACAACGTGACATCAGCTACACAGCTTTACAAGCAGCAATTAGTAACAAGATAAAATGACAAAGCTTGTACAAATAAACTTTTACATTTTGTAGAAATAAAAATTAGTTTAAACAAACAAGAAGTATTTAATAGAACTTATTAACTCATCTCCAAGGGAAACTATTTTATTGATGCTTTCTGTTCTTCTGATACCTAGTGAGTATTATCACCAGTGTGCTCTTGGATGTTTACACAGTTCAAGCTATTGCAAACACTTGATCTTCATGCACTAGCATCACTCAATGTAAAAAGGAAAAACAAGCATAGCATTTTATATTTTAATATATATTACACGTCTCATCAACTGCACTCTGTGCTGCAGACAGTAAAAGAAAACATAATGCAATGGCATGGATGAATTGCTGCCAGTTCTTACCTTGCCATCATTCCTAAGACTACTTTTGTGAAAGAAGCAGAAAAAAACCCCAACAACCCACAACTTACCAATTTAGCTATAATGAGTGCATCATTCATTAAGTCCAAGAGGGGGGTCTCTGTATGAATATTGTAAAAGGAATAGGCAGCTTTGAGGCTTTTATGAACAGGATGGTGCATCACTGTTGAAGGTAATGTGTAGAAACTCAGGAAGTCTGTTAAAATACCATTTGAGCCCTAAAAAAAAAAAACCCAAGTTAATTAATAAGAAATAATCACTCAGTTATTGGATAGGCTAACATGGCAGTTCTACAGAAAGTAATAAATGCAGCAGTTTTGCACACCGTAAGTATTATGGCATAACAGGTAATCTTGGCTACGATTTGAAGAAACTGAATTCTTGCCAAGGATGCGTCGATACATCAAAGCGAGACTGAAGCCTGAAATGGTCACTTCAGAAAAGGAAACAATTAGATTTTTCTAGTCTATTACACCAATAAATTTTGACAACCAAAGCATTTCAGTTTGCTTCCCAAGCTCAGCCTGCTATAAACAAAGCACACTTCCAAAAAAGTATAGTATTTTTTTTTCCTATTGAACTTATTTTTAAAATAATATTTTTTTAAATTCTGACAAAGTTCACATTGAAGAATAATTTTGCCAATGTTCTAAAAAAAGAAAAAAATATACTGTGCTGGTATACAAAGTGTATTTAGATCAGCTCTAGTCATCATTAATCAACAGGCACAATCCATTTGCTAGACAACAGTGCTAAATTACATTGAAATTCTAGTTAAGACCAGTAGTCATCAAAAAATGTACTTATACAGAAATCTAAAGTATCCTACATAAACTTTCTTAACATTTCATGCACATAATGAAATTTAACCATCTTCAAGAAAGTACATTAGTAAGAAATTTGAAATAATTATTACATGGCTTATGACTGACATGTTGAGCACAAAAAAAAAAAAACTACCCAGATTTTCACTCCTCCTATTCCAATCAGGTCTCCCAATATCTCCAGGAAGATAAGGCAAAGGAGACACACAAATGTTTGTTCTTCCTTGTTTGCTTTATTTTTGAATGACTGGTGCCCACTATTTTGAGCTCAATGAAGGACCTCACACAGATCCTTAAATTGATAGTAATTCTACAGTAAAAAAATAAAAGAGTTGAACCCATCACATGCAAATAAGCTATTGTCTTAGAGCAGGTACAGATTCTACAGTAGAGATAAACTGACAACAAATAACTAATAATTATTAAGTCTTTCACTAAGTTCAGGAAGGACAATGAAAATACTAATTCGGGAATTATACAGAGTATTTTAAGGTTTTTAGCTCTGCGCATTACAAAGATGACTTAAAAAATCTGACATTAACTTCTCCAGGTCACATAGGTCTTAGAAAGATTTTAAGCACTAACAAACCCACAGTTTGTATGGTGAGAAACTAGTTCAAGAGACAGTGGAAAACGAGCAAGTGAAGACTGCATTGCTCAGTTAAAATGGCCCTGCCAATGGCACGCTCACGCTGATCCTGGTGCTTGTGGACTCTGCTGCAGGCTTCAACTCACGAACAAAGCCAAAAACCAACCCGGGGGAAGAGGGAGGTGGAGAAATAATAAGGGACAATAAATTAAATTAGACCATGGGAGAGTCCAATGAGCACCAGACCCACTACAAAGGAAGTAGAAAGCTAAGCTTGGACAATGACAACCGATGAGCAGGACGTCTCAGCTCCAGCAGCAGTATGTTTCTAAATCCAGCTGAGACTCCTGCACAAATTCCGGCTGCATGCGGGAACACTAAGCTTCACAGCTTGCAGCTTCTGTGAAGAGCTGGTAGGTTTCAGGATGTTAATTGTGATCATTTTCAAATAACCTCATCACTTTAAACAAAGTAATACACTATCTAAATATGATGTCTACAATTGACTTAGTGTGGACTCAAAGGGAAGACAGTATCTTCTTCCACTAGCTTTATCGCAGCTATTCCAAGCATGCCTTACAGATTTCCAATCCAAATGCTGACCTATTCCTGCACTGCTGATTTTGCGAGAAGCATTGTGACAAACAGGCTGGAGGGTGGGGAGGGAAGAGTAAGTGGTAGGAGCAGATATTGCTCTCCACCTTGTTATTTTCAAGAGTATTGAACTCCTAGTTCACAGCAGCTCACAACTTTCCTATTTATATACTCATGCACGTACATGTATATATATGTATACACACACACAAATTCATAAACGTATACACACACACATACTCTTTTACTGTAAATATATATTTTACTGAAGCAGACCATCAAAAAAATATAATTCCCCCAGCAGGTGCCCCTAAAATTGGTTTTAAAAATAAAGAATTTTGAACTGGCGTATGGCAGAAACTTAAGACACCTGAGAGAATGAAACTGAATTCAAACTGAATCCTTATCTCAGCCAGTGTATCACTTTTCCCACAAAAGGACATTTGAAGACTACTGCTTATCATCATGTCATATCTCTATGGAAAAAATGGAGGAACACAAGTGGAAGGGTTGTGTTTAAAATACGTAACATTCTTTGCTGTAATATTTCCAAGACACTTGATATTTCAAAATTCTTTAAAATATCCCATTATAAGAGCACTGCAGTTTATCACAACCAAACATTTTCTCATTAACAAAATGCAATACAAAGAACAAAGCCTGGAATCACAGTATCAAGTTCTACCTGTAACACACATTTTTCATACACATTTCAAAAACTTGATGCTGATACGAACTTTTGTAAGTGGCATTCACATACACAGTCATGAAGTAGTTGGGGCATATTTTACCTCTACTACATAAGTGTCAATAATATGATCCCGAGGCAGGAACCAGTGGGCTACCTCTTCTTCATCCATCACAGGAGCAAGATTAAACTGTTTCAAGTAAGTGTTGATTAATTCTTGTACTGCTTTAGTATCTTTTTGTTCCATTGGTCTCAACCCTGAAGTCTTTGTGGCCTTATTGTAACAAAAGAAAAATAAATGTTAAGATGTTGAAAGGAAAACTGCATATGCAGCAAAGGCTGAAAGTAGGTTGCAGAATCACTCCGCTTGCTAGAACGCATTCATTATTAGCCTACTTTACCCTAGCCACCTAATTCATTATACTATTTTACAAATGGCTTTCAATCAGAACTCCCTCTCTTCTAATTATTGAGACAGTCTGGGGCACTTAATCTTTATATTTCATTATTGAAACAACTTAATTTCTCCAGGGAAAAGCCAACAGACTAAACTTCACGCATTTTGTATTACTATTTTTTTTTTTTTCAGATCGGTCTTTTTTTCTTATCTCCTAAACTACCCAGGGCCCAGACACAGAAACAAAACATAAAGCAACTTGCATATCAGAAGCTGATCTGAAGACAAGAACACTTGCAATTCAAACTTTGGAAAATTACAGTCAAGCTACATACCAAAATCAGCTGATAATCAGAAATTCTTTAACAAAAAAATTCCACCTATTCTTAACGCTTACAAACTCCCTTGCTAACTCAACTTTCTGTTCAGGCACAATTGCTGTTCCATTAACAAAAAAGCTTCTCATAACTTACAGCTGCCTGTAATTAAAAACCTACAGTGTTTTAATAAAGTTATTTCTTTGACTTTAAACATCAGAAGAGGAAAAAAATTGCTTTCCAGTACTTTGCAATTAATGTCTAAACAAGCAAAGGTGATTAAAGTTTTCTCCCCAGCTTTTGTTAGCTTTCCCGAATATCTCCTCTTAGGGAGGCTAAGGCTTCTTCTCTTCAGAGCTCATTTATCCTGCTTCATCTGTCTGAGCTACATACTTGGGCACATATCACATTAATCATAGCAAAGTCAATTGCAAGAGCAGTCAGGTAGAGACTTGATTACTGGAAACCTGAAATTAATGTAGCTGATTATGCTCTGCTCAAAAGGCATTATTCTGGGGGAGGTATTTATTCATGTACTCTGCAAGTCAGCAGCCAGGTGAAAAATCAAGGTACATTTTGCCACAGCTCTGGCCTGTGTATTACATTTTAGTCTTCCTGCTTTTCTGAGCAGCCTGGAGACTATGGTTTGCCTCCACAACAGCACATCATCTAGATTTTTAAATGCCCTGAGTCCATAAGGGTATTCACCTGACTCATCAATGTGACACTTCCCATGACACATTTCATTCAGAACCTCCTTATGAAAGGATAATTTCAGCTCCCTTCAAGCCTCCGTCCCTCTTCTAAAACCATACGCTGGAGAAGGAGGGCAGGAAAAGCAGCTGGGATAGAATATCTTTATCCCCCAGCAACACTCAGAATGGCCACCCATAAATGATTTGCAGCCCCAGCAGTGAGGGAAAGTGTACAGAATTGGGCTAAAATTTGTTTCTCTGCTCCACATACCAAGCTGCACTGGGTGTACATTCATGTGAGTATCCTGGCTCAGGACCTTGGTCAGTCAGGAAAAGACAGACTGAGACAAACATGCTCCTGTCCTTACTCTAAACACAGCCAAATTTTACCTCTCTCAGAAAACTCCTTGCTCAAGAGATTAAAAACTTAGAAAACCACCTTTGTTTTTTATATCTATAGGTAACATGCAAATACAGCCTTCAGTGAGGGTGGTATTTATTAATTACATTACTTCTTATTTCTGAAAACCTTTTCAATACAGACTGTTCAAGTGATTAGGAATGATTGATTCCTCTTAAAGGGAGACGACCTCCCAGTAGCAATGATATTCCAAGGACACTAAGAAAAGAGGTTAAAATGCAAGAAACAGTGTTTGGTGCTGAGGGACAGGACAGTGTGGCCTGAATGAACAAATCTGTGTGACAGTACTGTTTATGATAACAGTCTTAAACTGAGGATAAAGATCCTCAACAGCACTTAAACCCTTTCTTAGGAAAAAAAAAAAAAATCTCAAAAACCCCGAAGCACAAGACCTGAAGAGAAAACAGCACAAAGATTACATCTTTATTTTCCATGGGAGAAGCTCCCAAGTCCAATCTAACAGAAAACAAGCAGCTGAGGCATACAGACTCCTACATCACTTCGTTTTAAAAGCTGATTTTCAAAGCGCCTGTTTTCCATTTGCACATCTCTGTACAGTGTGTTTGCCTCAGCCATATTTTGTGAACGGGATATAATGTCTTCATTGTTTTCATAATTTATTCTTCTGTTGAAATCTGGGGTTTATGATAAAGAAAGATGATCAGGATACATCTGCTGTTGTTTCTAATGATTCTCTGTAGTTACATGTTTTGTACTGTAAGTAAGATCCTTATTCTTGAAACTATTCTTTTCCTGTATTGTTTCCATAAGGAACAGTCCTAGAGCTGCCACCAAAACTTATGTTTGAAGTTGTCTACTGCGCTTTTTTAGACTATTAAAAATGTCTTCAAGATTTGATGGAAGCTATATTTAGCTCTCCAAGATTAAAACCTAATTGGTTATTAATTCTTAAGCTCTGAAAACTGCTGCCCTGCACACAGGGGAGAACCTGCGTGTGCAGGCACAGGTAGCGTGCAGGCAGCACAGGAAACGAGTCTCTCTGATAGCACCAGGAGTTCAGATCCAGCCATGGCACGTGCTTTATACAGAGGAGGGCTCAGTGTATTACTCAAATCTATAAGTAGAAAGAGAACTTGCAACATCAAGCTAAATATAACAGACACAATTCTCCAACATCAGGCAAATCATTACAAAGTACTGAGTCAGGAAAAATAGTATTTTTTTAAAACCAAAAGGGAGGGTTTGTTTAAATAAAAAAAGGTTTACAGAAATGGTATAGGTAAAGGATGCTCTGCAATCCCTCCAAATAGAAAGGTAGCTTTTACAAGGAAAAAAAATGTTTTCAATCATAAAGCTTAAACTAGCTTCTACCGGCTATTAATTACAGTAATGAGATTTTTTTAATAGTACATCTCAGACTACTTACAGTGACTTGCCCGGTCATGGAAATGCATCCTAATGCTTTTTGCTAGCCTAACTATTAGCTGCAAACATGAGGAAAAAAAAAATTAACTAACCTAACCATGCCAGAACACTTTTTTTTTTCTTTTGTTAGATCATGCAATGAACAGTACACAACGTACTGAGGTGGCTTGTGCTGAGCCTGTTCTTTGCAGAAGAACAACATCCTCTGACAGAACAGAAAAAACTGTGAATTAGGGTGGAATCAACAATCCCACTGTACTCGGCCAACTTTCTGATGGACTTCTCTGAGAATTAAGATATGAACTGTTAATTTTCTGTTCCAGTTATCTTTCATCAGATTAATCATACCGAGAGAAGTCTTATGCATCTTCAACTCAATCCCACATGTTTCTGAAGTTAAGGTTTCTGTTTATTTTCTTCATTTAAGGCTTTTATGTCAAAAAGTCTATTTTCTCCACATACAGATCTAAATTTCCAGCAATAGTCTCTTCTGTTTAGTATAGCCCTTAAGGTCTTTTTCATCAACCAGAGATTATTTTTATTCAATGTCCTACATGCACTGCCTTTCCACAGAAAAGCCTGTGCTGTCAGAGACAGATGGAAGGTTATTTTGGGCCTCACAGTAACTGTGGGGATTCTCTAGAAATCATACTGCTTACATCAGGAAGTCTGTAGAGCTTCATTGTTCTTTGTAGAGTCATGTTTCTACTCAAATGTGAAAATTTCACCTCCACCAATTTTCTGGGATTCAGTGATCGATGCCAATACCTGGAAATAATGAGATTAAATAGCATTTTAAGTGTCAGCTTTACTTGCACCCACTTCACTACTTTCTCGCGTTGCTTCTTCTCCTCTCCAAATCTGTTTCCACGCAAGCATGTACTATGTCTGTAGGAAGCCTGAGCTACAAAAGATATGGAAAAGCTATATCCAAGCAACAGTTTTTAAACAGGCCTGCCTTCACCATAGTTTGAATCTAAGCAAATGTTTTTTATTACAGAATGAGCAATCACAGGGCTAAACACTTTAGTACTTGCGATAGCCCTGACAATCTCACTGTACTTACATGGTAACTTTTATTTTCTTGTACAGACAGGACCCTCTGCTCATGTCTAAACAGCTTGCTGAGGGAGATCTCCTCTTCCTAGGAGATTGTTGTGCAACTTGTTACTCTAACACAACATGGCTTTTTTTTCCCCCATCCTTCCTTACAGAAACTTACAGGCTCTCTGGGTTGATAGGTACAAATACAATTTCAAATCAAAAAGAACCCTGTCCTCCAGAAGGATAGACAGCTGAACTAATACTGCTGGAACTGAACTTTTCCCAGTAGAAATAAAATCCATTCCAAGCAAATGAAATTATACTTGATTACATACAACTCTTCTCACATGACAGTTTTCCCATCTTTATCAAATGCCGATCAAGTCCTCCTTTCTCCAGGAAGGATGAAAGTATTTCAAAAAAAGCAAGTCATACAATTCCCAGAAATGCTCTGCCATCTTTGGCAAGCAACCAGGTCAAGAGAGAAGTGTCCCAGCAGGGAAACAGGCCACTTGAAAAACACAGGTACCCACTGTTGTCGTTGCTAGCATGCCTTCCAGCAGAAGGTGAACAGAAACACCTATTATTCTATTTAAGGTACGATAAAAAACCCCAAAACCAGAATTTAGTCCAAGAAGCTGTTTTATCGAAGACACTGGGAGAGAAGGAAAAAAAATATAAAAAAAGAAACAAACAAAAAACCCACCCTTAACACTCAGGTTAGTCAAGGCTACAACATTTAATTTCATTGCGTTTTATGTTTTTACTGTTTCTAGCCAATTACACAAAATGTTCTTTAAAATGACTGCTATAGGAACCAATATTATTATGAACATCACCTAGGTTACCTGCAAGTGGCCACAGGTTTGGGAAGTACCACACCAGCAGTGTAAACAGCCTGAAAAATTCCTTCCAGGTTTACTCTTCTGGTTATTTCCCGAATCAGCACAGGCGCTACCCGTTTAGATCTCAGTTTCTTATGGACACACAGAAAATTGATTTCTACCATTTTCTTCACACTGAAAGGACATTAAATAGTGGAAAAGATAAAAAGTTGCACATTGCATATTTTCATTTACATAATTGTAGTTTTCCATGTTGCAACATAAGAATTTGAGGTAAAAATAGACTTGTGACAAGGTACATCTGCAACAAACACTCATCTAGGATATTGCAACTGCAATGGCAAATTGTGCAATATGCAAGCTGTGTCTAAGGTGCTTGCAAGAATCCTTTTTCAGAGCTGCATTGATACTTCACCAACTGCCTGCCTTTAAGATGCAGAATGGCATCCAAGCACATGCTACACAGTATCATCATACTTTATGATTGTCAGCATATGAAGACATGGCCAAGGAAGTCCAACTGACTGACTATCCTTTAAATATTTTCCAGTACGGTCAGAAATTTCTATATCATTATCTGTATCATCCATCAGTAAGAAAATTCCTTACATACGTATTACTGGTCTTCACTGCAACAAGCTTTGTTTTTTTTTTTTTTGGCAGGGGGAAAGTGGGGGAGGGAAGTAAAAAGTGTCTCAGCTACATACACTGCATTCTTCTGACTCTTTATGGTCAATGAGCCTCCTTCTCTCTTTTTCTCTATGACAATGGATACCAGTTTAAGATCTGTTTCATGGTGTTATTCTTTTACAAATACAAAATTAATGGTGCATTTTACCTGTCATAAATACGAATATTTGCAGGGATTGCACTTATGAATCCTACCAGTTTTTTGTTTGAAGACACTCTAACCCCACAGTGCCACTGGGGTAACCAGCCCGGAGGACGTAGTGCCCTAAAATTGATGACAGAAATAATTACAAATTACTGCCTAAGAAGATGTAATAAAAACACCCTTCTTTGCACTCCAGCCAGAGCAGAATGTGGAATTTCCTACTCACCACAAAAGAAATTCAGGTGAATAATCAAACCTAAACATATTATCATCATCTTCTACGTAATTCTCATTTAACAGTGTGTATAACTCCTTCAGCTGAAAACACACACAAGAAAATCCATCATCAATCACAAAAAACTTCAATGACTTTAGACAGATATAAAAATTGTTTTACTCACAACTTCAGCATTGCTAAGATCCAATGTGTCCCACATAAAACCTTGTGGCAAAGAATATGGCTCTAGGCGGACATTGTCCTTATCTGGTTCAATGGCACCATGCGAAGTTATAACTTCATCTTTTGAGGGAGGAGGAGGAGAGGAAAAAAAAAAAAAAGAACAGTTACATGGCTAGTTTTCCTGACAGTTCTCAAAAATGCATTTAACTCACATCATGTATTTTCACATAATTATGTGATAGGAACACAAACCTTTTAAAAAACGCTGAAAGAAGTTAGTATTATTAGCTTATACTGCTTCTCATTCTCGCAGATTGCATTCAGACTAATGACTATCTCATCAGAATACCCATAGACACGCACAGAACTACTCTGCCTTAACTGATACCCAGTATTTTGTAAGATCGGACAGCAATTTATCAGCACATGCACAGCATTTAGCCAGCCATGAGACCCATGGTCTCACCATGAGAAACACGTTGTATGCACAGCTAACAAGCTATGGCTTGGATCCTGTTTACCACGGACTTGAATAGACCTGAACTCAACAGGATCACTCAGGATCAGTGGCATGGCAAAGCCAGGGCATTTAAGGGATGCTGCTGGTGAAATGTGAAATTTATTCCTAAAATCCTACATGAAAGCATGCTTTCTTCTCCTCCCTCACTTTACAACTCCGGTTCCTCCGTATAGAGCTATAAACAAGCTGTTCCTCTTCTATGGAGCAACACCTGCCAAATCACAGAATGACAGCATTGTTTAGGTCAGAAAAGACCTTTAGGATGACCAAGTCCAACCGTTAACCCAGCACTGCCAAGCCCACCACTAAGCCATGTCCCTAAGCACCACATTCAGATGTCGCCTAAATACCATCAGGGATGGTGACTCCACCACTGACCTGGGCAGCCTGTTCCAATGTTTGACAACTCTTTTGCTGAAGAAATTCTTCCTAATGTCCAATCTAAATCTCTCCTGGCCAACTTTAGGCCAATTTACTCTTGTCCTATTGCTTGTTACTTGGGAAAAGAGACTGACCCCCACCTCGCTACAACCTCCATTCAGGTAGTTGTAGAGAGCAATGAGGTCTCCCCTCAGCCCCCTCTTCTCCAGACTAAACAACCCCAGTTCCCTCAGCCGATCCTCATCAGACCTGTTCTCCAGACCCTTCAACAGCTTTGTTGCCCTTCTCTGGACACGCTCCAGCACCCCGATGACTTTCTTGCAGTGAGGTGCCCAAAACTGCACACAGCATTCAAGGGGCAGCCTCATCAGTGTTGAGTATGGGGGCATGATCACCTCCCTACTC